GGTGGATCACCTGAGGTCAGGAGTTTGAGACCAGTCTGGCCAACATGACGAAATCCTGTCTCTACTAAAAATACAAAATTTTAGCCAGGCGTGGTGGCGGGTGCCTGTAATCTCAGCTACTCAGGAGGCTGAGGCAGGAGAATCACTTGAACCCGAGAGGCAGAAGTTGCAGTGAGCCGAGATTATGTCACTGCACTCCAGTCTGGGCAACAGAACAAGACCCTGTCTCAAAAATAAATAAATGAATAAAAATAACACAAAGAATGGGAGGGGAGAAATTGAACTATACTGTTACACTCTACATAACATAGTATACTATTATGTAAATGTGAACCATGATAAGTTAAATATATGTTTGGTAAATTAAATTAAAAGGTATGGCTAATAAACTAATTGTGGAGACAAAATGTTATTCAAATATTTGATTCATCAAAAAGAAAGCAGAAAAAGTGGGGAAGGAACAGTAAACAGATAAGGAACATAGGAAACAGAGAGTAGCCAGGTACAGTGGCTCACACCTGTAATCCCAGCACTTTGGGAGGCTGAGGAGGGCTGATCTTGAGGTCAGGAGGTCGACACTAGCCTGACCAACATGGTGAAACCTCGTCTGTACTAAAAATATACAAACATTAGCCAGGCATGGTGGCGCGCTCCTGTAATCCCAGCTGCTCAGGAGGCTGAGGCAGGAGAATCCCTTGAACCAGGAAGGCAGAGGTTGCAGTGAGCCGAGATCTCACCATCGCACTGCAGCCTGGGTGACAGAGCAAGACTCAGTCTAAAAAAAAAAAAAAAAAAAGAAACAAGAAAAGAGAAAGTAAGATGTTAGACTTAAACCAAACCATATCAATAATTATCTTAAATGTAAATACTCTAAACATTCCAATTAAAAGGTAGAAATTGTTGTATTATTTAAAGAAAAGCAAGATCCAACTATACGTTTGCTACAATAAATTTGCTTCAAATGTGAAGACGCAGTTAAGTTAAAAGCAAAAGGATGGAAAAAGATATGCCATGCAAACGCTAACCAAAGAAAATAGGAATAGCTCTTTCACATCAAAGTAGACTTTACAACCTAAAAATTACAAGAGATAAAGAAGAACATTTTACAATGATAAAGGGGTTAATTCATCAAGAGGATATAATAGTTCTGAAAGTATAATAAACTAATAAAAGAACTTTTTTTTTTTTTTTTTTCTTGAGATGGAGTCTTGCTCTGTTCCCCAGGCTGAGGTGCAGTGGCGTGATCTCGGCTCACTGCAATCTCTGCTTCCTGGGTTCAAGTGATTCTTCTGCCTCAGCCTCCCAAGTAGCTGGGACTACAAGTGCATGCCACTACACCCGGCTAATTTTTTGTATTTTTAGTAGAGATGGGATTTCACCGCGTTAGCCAGGATGGTCTTGATCGCCTGACCTCATTATCCACCTGCCTCTGCTTCCCAAAGTGCTGGGATTACAGGTGTGAGCCACCACACCCAGCCGAAAAAGAACTTTGAAATACAAGAGACAAAACCTGATAGAATGAAAAGGAGAAATAGACAAACCTACAAGTGTGGTTAGAGATTCAACACTGCTTTCTCAGTATTTTTTTTTTTCTTTTCTTGAGGTGGAGTCTCGCTCTGTCGCCCAGGCTGTAGTGCAGTGGCGCATTCTCAGCTCACTGCAACCTCCACCTCCTGGGTTCAAGCAATTCTCTTGCCTTAGGCTCCCAAGTAGCTGGGATTATAGGTGCCCACCACCACACCCAGCTAAAATTTGTTTTCTTAGTAGAGACGGGGTGTCACCATGTTGGCCAGGCTGGTCTTGAACTCCTGACCTCAGGTGATCCACCTGCCTGGGCCTCCCAAAGTGCTGGGATTACAGGCATGAGCCACTGCACCCGGCCCTACTTTCTTAGTAATTATAGAAGTAGACAAAAAAGTAAACAGTCAAGACATAAAATGCTTGAGCAATCCTATCAACCAAAGTGATCTGATTGAATTTATAGAACACTCCACCCAACAACAGTAGAATACATATGTTTTTCTTTTTTCTTTTTTTTTTTGAGATGGAGTCTTGCTCTGTCACCCAGGCTGGAGTGCAGTGGCACCATCTCGGCTCACTGCAAACTCCACCTCCCGGGTTCATGCCATTCTCCTGCCTCAGCCCCCTGAGTAGCTAGGACTACAGGCAGCCACCACCACGCCTGGCTAATTTTTTTGTATTTTTAGTAGAGACGGGGTTTCATGTGTTAGCTAGGATGGTCTCCTGACCTCGTGATCTGCCTGCTTTGGCCTCCCAAAGTGCTGGGATTACAGGCATGAGCCATCATGCCTGGCCCTATGTATGTTTTCAAGTGAATACAAAATATTTATCAAGATAGACCATACCCAGGGCCAAAAAATAAGTCACAATATAATTTGAAAGGATTAAAACCATACAGAGTATGGCCAGGCACGATGGCTTATGCCTGTAATCCCAGCACTTTGGGAAGCCAAAGTGGGCGGATCACTTGAGGTCAGGAGTTGGAGACTAGCATGGCCAATATGGTGAAACCTCATCTCTACTAAAAAATACGAAAATTAGCTGTGTGTGGTGGCCTGTGCCTGTAGTCCCAGCTACCTGGGAGGCTGAGGTGGGAGAATTGCCTGAACCCAGGAGTTGGTGGTTGCAGTGAGCCGAGATCGAGCCACTGCACTCCAGCCTGGGTGACAGAGTAAGACCCTGTCTCAAAAAATAAAATAAAAATAAATAAAACCATACAGAGTATATCCTCTGACTATAATGTTATTAAACCCAGTAACAGAAAGATATGTGGAAAATCCCCAAATATTTGGAAATGAAATACGCTTCTTAAAGACCTATGGGTAAAAGAAGAAACCACAAGGGCAATTAGAAAATATTTTGAATTGGATAAAAATAAAACACAATATTGCAAAATCTGTGAGAAGCAGTTAAGAATCAAGGAAATTAAGAGTATCAGATGCTTATAGTAGAAAAGAATGAAGATCTCAAATCAGTGATCTATGTTTCCATCTTATGAGACTAGAAAAAGAAAAGCAAAGTAAACCCAAAGTAAGCAATGGGAAGCAAAAATAAAGATGAGCAAAATAATTAGAGAAAACCCCTCACCAGCCTGGACAACATAGCAAGACTCCAACTCTACAAAAAAAAAATTTTTTTAAATTAGCCAGGCATGGTGGCATGTGCCTGAGGTCCCAGCTACTCAGGAGGCAGAGGCAGGAAGATCACTTGAGCCAGGGAGGTTGAGGCTGCAGTGAACTGTGATCCTGCCATTGCACTCCAACCTAGGTGACAGAGTGAGACCCAATCTCAAAAAAAAAAAAAAAGAAAAGAAAAGAGAAGAAATAACCCCTCGACAATAGAGAAATCAATTACTCTAAAGCCAATTCTTTGAGAAGATAATATTGAAAAACTTCTCGTCAGACTGAATAGAAAAAAAAAGAAGACACACCAATATCAGGAATGAAAGAGGAAACATCACTACAGATGGTACAGATAATATAAAGATAATGAGGGAATATTCTGAACAAGTTTATGTCAATAAATTCAATAACTTGGAAGGAAGGGAAAAATTATTTTGAAAGGAAGACCAACGTTCACTCAAGAAGAACTAACCTGAATATTCATTATAATTATTAAGGAATTTGAATTCTGATTACAAACCTTTCCACAAGGAAAACTCCCAGCCAGATGGCTTCACTAGTGAATTCTATCAATCACTGAAGAAAGTAATGGTACAAACTGACGTAAACTCTTCCAGAAAACAGGAGTAAATACTTTGCAACTTCTACTATGAGGTTAGCATTATCCTGTTTCCAAAACAAAGAGATAAGAATAAAAAAAAAAACTATAACCAATATCCCTCATAAACAGAGATGAAAAAAGTCCTTACACTATATTAACAAATCAAATTTAGAAATATGATAAAATAATAAGGAAAATGCATTGTGCTCAAATGGGGCTTATCCCACAAATTATGCAAGATTTATTTAACATTCAAAAATTGGCAATGTTGATTTATCATATGATTCAAGCAGAAAAAGAAAACAATATGATCATGTCAATAAATATAGAAAAGCATTTGACAAAATTCAACACCCATTTATAATAAAATTTCTCAGCAAACTAGGAATAGAAGGGAATTTCTTCAATCTAATGAAGAATGCTTATGAAAAACCTTCACTTAATAACATAGTTAATGGTGAAGACTGAATGTTTTCCCCTAAAATTAGAAACAAGAGCAACATTGTCTGTTCTTGCTGCCTCTATTCAATATTAGAATAGCAGCCAGGTGCAATGAATGGCTCATGCCTATAATCCCAGCATTTTGGGAGGCTGAGGCGGAGGATCACTTGAGTCCAGGAGTTCGAGACCAGTCTGGGCAACATGGCGAGGCCGTCTCTACAAAAACAAACAAACCAACCCAATATTGTACTAGAGGTCTCAATCAGTGAAATAAGGGAATAAAAGTGAATAAAAAACTTCCAAATTAGAAAGGAAGAAGTCAAATTATCATTCACAGACAACATGATTATCTATGTAAAAAATCCAAAAGAAACTTTTAAGAAGCTACTGGCACCAAGAAGGATGTTTAGAAACATCATAGGATAAAAGGCTAATATACACATATCAGTTGTAAGTTTATACACTGTACTAGCAACAACCAACTATAAATAGAAATTTAAAACACAGTACCATTCATTGTATCATCAAAAACATGAAATACTTGGGGATAAGTTTTACAAAATATTTGTAAGACCTAAACTTGAGCACTTAAAACTATAAAATATTGTTTAGAAAATTTTAAGAAAACATACATAAATGCACATATTTTCCATGTTCATAGATCAGAAGACTGAATTTTTTTTTAAAGAAAATTTTTGTGGTTTTATTGTATCATAAGGCATTGAGACATCTGAACAAATCAATGTCTGGGCGGTGAGGGAGCTGCTTTCTCCTTCACTGCTTTGGGTTACTAAAGCAACTTGTCAGTATATTAAAACAAACAAAAAACAAAAAGAGGACAACTTTTGCATTACTTAAGTCTTTCCAAGGCACACGCTGGTACAACACAAACTTCTATCAGATGTAACTAGTCTAGCGTCCAAACATCATGCACAACACCTCGGTGGCAGCAGCGCACTGCGCCCACTCTCGCCGCGGCCCTGCTTACTTGTGCATGATATTCGGAGCATCTGGAGGAGTAGGAATAGTATTGGAAAGAGGAAGGAGGAGGAAACAGCGTTAGTGCCTGGCTGAGAGGAGGTCAGCCGAAGTTGTACAGGGCAAGCCTGAACATGTCATCGGTGCAAACCCAAGCATCCTGGATGTTCTTTAATAGGAACATCTGGTGGAATCCCATGATGGGGTCTTCATCCGCCTTAAGCCGGCCCACAACCATGCTGATGATGCAGCTATCTGGCATAGGCTGATGGTCCTGCGCCATGAGGCTGTGCTGGATTTTCTGGAACGGAAGGCTGGACAACTTCTCCACAATGGCAGCTTTCCCCTGGAACTGTTGTCCTTCCCATGTAAGGCATGAGGCATCAATGTAAACTGCGCCTAGTTGCGTTCTATCGTTACCAAATAACTGGTAGTAATGTTGAATGAAGCTGGATCCAATCAGCTCCCAAACTGGCTTGTCTCCCATTCTTGAGCGTCACCTGGCCTCGCGGAGACCTGAGGGGCTTGCACGACGGTGGCAGCGGTGGCAGCAACCCAGAGTGGTCCAGAATATTAAGATACCAGTTTTCAGGCCGGGTGCGGTGGCTCACGCCTGTAATCCCAACACTTTGAGAGGCCGAAGGAAGGTGGATGACCTGAGGTCAGGAGTTCGACACCAGCCTGACCAACATGGTGAAACCCCGTTTCTACTAAAAATACAAAAACTATCCAGGCGTGGTGGCAGGCGCCTGTAATCCCAGCTACGTGGGAGGCTGAGGCAGGAGAATCGCTTGAACCCAGGAGCTTGAACCCAGGAGGTGGAGGTTGCAGTGAGCCGAGATCACACCGTTGCACCCCAGCCTGTGTGACAAGAGCAAAAACTCGGTGGAAAAAAAAAAAAAATCGGTTTTCCCAGAATTAAAACTATAGTTTCAATGCAAACCCCTTCAAAACCCAGCAAGATTTTTGCAGAACTTCACAAGCTAATTCTAAAACTGATATAAAAATATGAAGAACCTAGAAGAGTCAAAGCAAGTTTTAAAGAAAACAGTATTAGAAGGCTTTATGACTTACTACAGTAATCAAGACAGTGTGGTGTTGCTGTAAGGACAGACACATACATCTAAGGAACAGAACTGAGAGTCTAGAAATACAGTTTCTTAGGTTAGGAATTCAGAGGCATCTTAGACTCGTGATTCTAGTTCAGGCCTTCTCCTGAGGTTGCACATCAAGATGTTGGCTGAGGCTAGTCACCTGAATGCTTCACTGGGACTGGAGGATCTACCCCTAAAATGGCTCACTTACCTGTCTGGCAGGTAGCTGCTGGTGTTGGCATGAGGCTTCAGTTCTTCACCACATAAGACTTCATAGAGTGGTTTGAGTTTCCAGCTGGCTTCCCTGGATGAGTGATCCAAGAGAGATCAAGATAGAGAGCAAGGTAGAAGCCAATGTTTTTATGACCTAATGTTGTTAACTTTTACTCTCTAATTTCTGCAAAATTGTATTGATTACACAAGTCAACCAAGGCAACCAATGCAGTAGGAGGGGACTACACAGAGGCCTGCATACAGGTGGTATTCATTAGGTGCCATCTTCAATTCTAGTTACCACAGGTTCTAAGGTAACTTAATGGAAAAGGGTAGTCTGTTCAATGAATCATGCTGGATCAATGGGATATCCACACAGAAAAAAATGGACCTCAACCTTTACCTCACACCATATGTAAAATTTAACTTGAAATAGATCATAGGCCTAAACATATGAGCTAAAACTATAAAACTTGTAAGAAGAAAACAAAGGAAAAAAAATCTATGCAAACCTGACATAAGGCAAAAGATTTCTTAAGACCTCAAAATCACAAACCATAAAAGAAGATAATGATTATTGGATTTCATCAAGACTAAAACTAACTCTTTGAAACGGTTATGAAAATGATGAGGTAGGCCAGGTGCGGTGGCTTGTGACTGTAATTCCAGCACTCTGGGAGGTTGAGGTGGGGAGATCATGAGGTCAGGAGTTCGAGATCAGCCTGGCCAACATGGCAAAACCCCATTTCTACTAAAAAACACAAAACTTAGCCAGGCATGGTGGTGCGTGCCTGTAATCCTAGCTACTGGGGAGGCCGAGGCAGGAGAATCGCTTGAACCCAGGAGGTGGAGGTTGTAGTGACCTGAGATCACGCCACTGCACTCCAGCCTGGGTGACAGAGCAAGACTCCATCTCAAAAAAACAAAACCAAACCAAAACAAAAAAGGCTGGGTGTGGTGCTTCACGCCTGTAATCCCAGCACTTTTGGGAGGATCACCTGAGGTCAGGGGTTCAACACCAGCCTGACCAACGTGGAGAACCCCGTCTCTACAAAAAATGCAAAATTAGCCAGGCATCGTGGCATGTGACCGTAATCCCAGTTACTCTGGAGGCTGAGTCAGGAGAATCACTTGAACCTGGGAGGTAGAGGTTGCAGTGAGCTGAGATCACGCCATTGCACTCCAGCCTGGGCAACAAGAGTGAAACTCCGTCTCGAAAACAAAAAAAAAAAGAAAAAGAAAATGATGAGGCAAGGCACAGACTGAGAAAATATATGCAGAACATAAATAAGGGAGTTATATCCTAAATATATAGAAAACTTTTACAACTCAGTAATATAAAACAAATAACCTGATAAAAATGAGCAAAATATTTGAACAGACATTGCACTAAATAAGATATATACATTTTAAAGACGAACACATCGTAAGATGCTCAACGTAGTTATTTGAAAAATGAAATTTAAAAATACAGTAAGATACCACTGGCCACCCACTAGCATAACTAAAATTAAAAAGAATGGCAATACTAAAAATTGGTGGCTATGTGGAGATGACTGGAGCTTTCATATGCTATTGGTGGGAGTGTAAAATGCTTCAGCCACTTTAGAAAATAGTTTTGCAGTTTCTTACAACATTAAAAGTATGTTTTCTGATATGACCCAGCAATTCCATTTCTAGTTATGCACCCAAGAGAAATGAAATCATATAGTCACACAGACTTGAACAAATATTCCTAACAGCTTAATTCAAAATAGCCCAAACTGGGAAAAAGTCCAAATGTCTATGGACAAGAGAAAGGGTAAACAAATTGCGGTACAACCAGACAATGCAGTATCAGCAATAAAAAAGCTGGGCGCGATGGCTCACACCTGTAATCCCAAAACTTTGGGAGGCCAAGGTGGGTGGATCACCTGAGGTCAGGAATTCGAGACCAGCCTGGCCAACATGGTGAAACCCCGTCTCTATTAAAGAAATCCAAAAGTTAGCCGGGTGTGATGGCGGGTGCCTGCAATCTCAGCTACTCTCGGGAGGCTGAGGCAGGAGAATCGCTTGAACCCAAGAGGCGGAGGTTGCAGTGAGCTGAAATCTGCACTCCAGCCTGGGCGACAGAACGAGACTCTATCTCACCAAAAAAAAAAAAAAAAGTAAACTACTGATCTTTCCAACAATAGGGAGGAGTCTCAACAACATTAAGCTAAGTGAAAGTCAGACACAGAGCTCATAGTGTATGATTCCATTGATATGAAACTCCAGAAAATACAAAAACGTAATCTATAGTAGAAGAAAGCAGTCCAGCGGTTGCCTAGAACTCAGGTGTGTGGGATGGGGTGAGTAGAGGGACACAGGGTAGTCTGGGATGACGGCACAAGGTGATTGTTGAGGACATGGAAATGTTCTGCATCTTGATCATGGTAGTGGAGTGTGAATGTGTCAAAATGTATCTAAATATCCACTTAAAGTGGGTGCATTTTATTGCATGTAAACTATACTTCAACAAAGTTGAATTTTTTAAAAAATAAGAAGGCACAGCTTTCCAACGAGTTTCAATTTGAATAAACAATATCTGCAGCTTTTGTGCCTTCCCATGTGTACACCCACAGGGCCCTGGACCTTCCTGCGTTGAGACTTTCTAGGGTGCCACAGGGCCCGGCATTGAGAGGAATCCAAGGTTAACACCATTAGCCCGCGTGGATTGCAGGCCGCGAAGCCGGCGGAGGAAGCGCTAGTTTAGTCACAGCTGCAGGCCTCAGCGGTCGAAATCCTGCCGCGAAGGGTTGCTGCGCACCCGGAGGCCAGAGGTCCAGACGACAGACCCCAGATGCGTCCTTCCCGCCTGCTCCCGGAGGACCCCGAACGCCGCGCCCACTCGGCGGAAGCCGCTGCATCTCGAACCTGCGTTAATGGGGGTCTGCGGGACCTACACGATGGACGCGGGCCACCGCGGGCCACCACGGGCCACCAGGCCCCAGGAGCCAGAGAAGAGCGCGGCGGGCGAGAGCAGCCTAGGGCGTGCGCCCGTCGCGGGGGTTGGAAAGGAGAAGCCTCTGCCGGGCAAGGGGACTTGCGGGGAGAAGACCCCTCCCAGCCCAACCAGGGTTAGGGACGGGTGACCCGCAAGGGCCCGTCGAGTTTGGCTGATCCGCGCTGGGGCTCAGCCCTCTGCCTTCAGCCGTGGAGTCGCCCGGGGAGCCAGGAGCAGTGGCACTGCCTCTCCCGATTCCCCCAGCCCCAGGGCTGCCCCCTCACTCAGGACAGACCCGCTGCTCGGAATCGCCCACGAGCCTCCCAGGCCCCCACCGCACCCTTCTGTCGCCCACAGAGGAGCATTTTGTGGACACCACCCATGACAGGGAGGTCTCTCTTGGAGACGCAGTCCGTCCCCGCAAATCTCCTGCGGATTCCACCGCTCTGGGAGGGACTCGGCCAGGCCCTCCCTATCCCGCCGCCGGGGCCGGATGGTCCTTGATCGATGCCGCTCTACTAATCAGAGGGAAGGAGAGGAGGGGACGCTCGCAGCTGCCCCCTTCTTGTTTGTTTGTTTTTGAGACCGAGTCTCGCTCTGTCCCCCAGGCGAGAGTGCAGTGGCGCGATCTCGGCTCACTGCAGCCTCCGCCTCCCAGGTTCAAGCAACTCTCCTGCCTCAGCCTCCTGAGTAGCTGGGGTTAGAGGCGACCGCCACCACGCCCGGCTCGCAGCTGCCTCCTTCTGAGTAAAGCAGGGGGAAGAGTCCCTGGGAGTAACTGTCCAGCCTGGGGCGGGGCGAGTGTGCTGGTATTGGGGGTTGGGGGTTGTGGGGAGTGTTGGGCGGAAGCTGGCCTGGGAGAGCTGCAGTCCGCATTCCTCACCTTGGAGACCAAGCACCCTCCCGAAATCTTGCACACACATTCTTAGTCTCCCCTGACCCAACACGTGCGCGCGCGCACACCCCTGCACCCGACCTGGGACCCACTCTACCTCCCTCTCTCACATCTTCTAATTGACTAATATCTACAATTGCAAACAATTTTTTTCTATTACTAACTTAGTTAAAATATTTTTCCGGAGGGATTATTGATATCGGCTTACCAGCAGCTTAATCTTTAACGATAAGTAACTAAAAGCAAACAACGGGTCGGGCGAGGTGGCTCTCGCGTGTAATCCCAGCACTTTGGGAGGCCGAGGCGGGCGGATCACGAGGCCAGGAGATCGAGACCATCCTGGCTAACACGGTGAAACCCCGTCTCTACTAAGAATACAAAAAATTTAGCCG